CCTCGGCGAATCACCGACGCCACGGCCCACCCTCACCTAATCACTGACGCCACGGCCCACCCTTGCCGAATCACCGAGGCCATGGCCCAGCCTCACCAAATCACCAATGGCACACCCTCACCAGCCACCGATGCCACGGCATACTCTCACTAGCCACCAGCACCATGGCTTACCCTCACCAGCCACCGACGCCAGGACCCACCCTCACTGAATCACCAATGCCATGTCCCACTCTCATCAAATCACTGATGTCACACCTTCACCAGCCACCAACAGCGTGACCCACCCTCACCAAATCACCAACACCACAGCCCACCCTCACTAGCTACCGACTCCATGACCCACCCTTGCCAGATCACCGACACCATGGCCCACCCTCACCAAATTACCAATGCCACACCTTCACCAGCCACTGATGGCATGGCCTATACTCACCAGCCACCAATGCCACAACCTATCCTTGCCAAATCACCAACAGCATGACCCACCCTCACCAAATCACTGACGCCATGACCCCCTCTTGTAAAATCACCAATGCCATGGCCTACCCTCATCAGCCACTGATGCCACGACCCACCTTTGCCAAATCACAGACACCATGACCCATCCCCGCCAAATCACCAGCGCCATGACTCACACTCTTCAAATCACCAATGCCACACCCTCCCCTGCCACCAAAGCCACAAGCAACCCTCACCTGCCACTGACACCACAACCCACCCTCACCAGCCACCCACTTCATGGCCTAACCTCACTGGTGCCATGGTTCACTCTCACTAGACACTGACACCATCATCTACCCTCACCAGCCACTGATGCCACACTCTCCTCTACCACCAATGCCACGGCCTACCCTCACATGGCACCAATACCACAACCCACCCTCACCAAATCACTGCCACGACGATCCACTCTCACCAAATCACCAATGCCATAGCCTGGCCTCACCATCCACCAATACCATAGGTCACCCTCACCCTCAAACACCACCACTGCCTGGCTTCGCCATCCACCAACACCATCTGCCACTCTCACTCGCCACCTATGCCACAGCCCAACCTTGCCAACCATCGATGTTGCCAAATCACCAACCTCACAGCCCACCCTCACCAGCCACTGACACCACAGCCTGTCCTCACCTGCCACCAACACCACAGGACACCCTTACCAAACCACCCGACACCACGACCCACCCTCGCTAAATCACTGATGCGATGGCCCAACCTCACCCGCCACCAATGCCATGGTCTGGCCGCACCATCCACCAACACCACAGGCCACCCTCGCCTTCAAACACCACTGCCTGACCTCACCAACCACAAATGCCACTTAGGCCACAGCCCAACCTTGTCATCCACCGATATTGCCAAATCACTTACCCCACAGCCCACCCTCGCCCATCACTGACACCACGGCCCAGCCTTGCCTGCCACCAACACCCACCACGGGCCACCCTCACCCACCAATGCCACAGCCCAGCCTTGCCAAATCACTGGTGCCACGGCCCAGCCTCTCACGCCATAATGCCATGGGCCAGCCTGGCTGGCCACTGTGCTATGGCCCACCCTCACCTGCCACCAAAGCTACAGCCCATCCTCCCCAACCATGACAGCATGACCCACCCTTGCCAACCATCAACACCATGACCCAGCCTCACCCACCAGGGACACCAAGGCCAGGCCTCATCCGCCACTGACACCACGGCCCGGCCTCACCCACCATGAATACCACAACTTGGCCTTGCCATCCACTGACCTCACCCTCACCCGCCACAATGCCATGGGCCAGCCTGGCTGGCCGCTGATGCCACGGCCAACCCCCCATGCTGGAAAAGGTATAACAAGTGGGATTCCACAGGGGTCTGTTTTGGGAACGGCTCTCTTCAATATCTTCATCAACGATTTAGATATTGGTATAGAAAGTACGCTTATTAAGTTTGCAGATGATACCAAGCTGGGAGGGGTTGCGACTGCTCTGGAGGATAGGGACATAATTCAAAATGATCTGGACAAATTGGAGAAATGGTCTGAGGGAAACAGGATGAAGTTTAATAAAGACAAATGGAAAGTGCTCCACTTAGGAAGGAACAATCAGTTTCACACATACAGAATGGGAAGCGACAGTCTGGGAAGGAGTACGGCAGAAAGGGATCTAGGGGTTATAGTGGACCACAAGCTGAATAT